CACACACACACACACACACACACACACGAGCGCGCGGGCGCTCGCGCCCGAGAACCGCACCAAGCGCACCCTGGCAGTTTTGCATATACTGCGCTTGAGCGCGCTCACAAACCTAGACCCCAGGGGTTTCCTCTGACACTTGGGGCCCATAAAATATATACATGGGGATACATCAGTGAATTTCAGCACCTCAGAGCCCACGCTTGCGAAGGGCAGCTTTAGGAGATAGAGTGACACCAGTTTTAGGGGGTGGGGAGGGCACCGAGGAAGGAGCTTCTGCTAAGGCGATTTTCGGGTACTAGTGATTTACTAAGAGTTTTAGGAAATTTCCAAGGCAAAGCGCTAGTGTGAGAGCTTCTTTCTAATCTTGATATGCCTTTTGTGATTATGTGTTGGGCTGCACACGCACGCTCACTTCACGCACACACGTACATCACGTACGCACACGCACACCCGGACCCACACACACTTGCACTGTCTCTGATGTCCCGGTGCAGACCCTCTGTATGCAGCTTACTCTGCAATGAAATACTTCTGCGTCTGTGTTTGGACTCTGTGCAAAGCGCTATCGTGATCGTTTAAGTGAAAAAGGAAAAATTAACAGGGCTATTTCCTTTCTACACACCAACAAGTAACTTTATTCCTTAAGGCCCTGAAAGGAAAAAAAAACAAACAAAAACGACCTCCGCCTCAAAGTTGCAAAAACTTTACAAGAAGATGTCAAAATATCAGATAAGTAGTCGAAATGCAAACAAATTAAGGAGATGGGCATAAGCATTTTCTTCACCAGGTAGCTTCCCCTCCTGCACCCATATTGGTGTCCACATTCAGACAGTTGGAGATGTACAGAAGAGAAAGGGAGAGAAAGGTGCAAAATAATAGGGGTGAGACGGTAGGTGGAGAGTGAGCCCCGGGGGTCCTGACTGCAGCACTTGGAGAGAAGACCCGTTTGTACTGAGCCGCTCTCTCCTCGGGTCCTGCGGAAGCGGAGGACTCGGAGGATGTGGCCCGGGACCTGGGGGCGGAGTCACGTCGCCCCGCCTCTGGTGATGTCACCGGATGGTGGGAGGGGCGTTAGGGGGCTCGTCTCTAGGGCGGCCTAGGGCTCAGTGGCAGCCCCGGGTGTTTCCTTACCCTGTGCTTAGAGGTTCCGGGAAGAGCCTAAAACGTGGGCGGGCAGGGGGCGGGGCAGGAGCTGGTGGCGAGAGGGAGGTGTTTCTCGGATCCGCCCCCTACGCTCTCCAATGGCACAGCTGAAGGTTGGCTCAAGGGGCGGCCCCAATCGGGGCTCTGCCCCGCCCTGGGCGGACTGGCTTTTCCTTCCTAGTCGGATAGCCGAGACACCCCTAACTACTAGCTCAGACCCTGCGGAACCCCCAGCTGGGGGTGGCTTAGAGTTTGTCCTCAACGTCCTTGCTTTCTTTCTGTCCATCTACACGATATCTTCCAAAACGTCATCTTCTCAGGTGCCCCGGGATCCTCCTCACCGCATTCTCTGTCGCCCTGAACTTGGGCGTTGGGAATATGGGAAGAAGAGGCGCTGAAGGGCTAAATAAAGCCTAGTGGAGCGGAACACCAGAGAGCTGCAGACCCGGGCCCTGCGCGCGTGCGCACGGCCTCCTGCGCCGGGCCCCGGGCTGGGTTCTCCCTAGTGGCCTTGGGACTCTGCTGCGCCGCGCCATCCTCGAAACCTCTGCTCGCCTCTCTCTATCCACTTTCCTACCGCTGTGTCCCAAACTTCGGTCTCTGGTGTGGGTCTTTTTGAAAGTGAAGAAAAGGAGAGGCGAGGAGAGCTAGTACTATTGAAAGCAAATGCTAATGGTGGGTTAAAACATTTTTAAAAAAAAGTCTTAAGTTTTAAATTACAGTTCGTTTTGCAGTTGGGGTTCCATGCTGGGTTCGTTCTTTCTTGTTCCTTAATTAAAGGGTAATGCAATCAACCCCTGGTGCCGGAGGCATGCTGACTATTTGGAAAAATCGAGGGCAACATGTTTGATTGGAAGTGGCATTGGAGAACGTTTCCTCTTCTTTTATTGATGTGAAAAGCCCATCTCATACCATATTTCAGGTCAAAGGTACAGTAGTAGTAGGAAGAGCAGTAAACAGGGCTGAAGAAACTCAAGTAATTAGTAGGTAGGCTGCACCCTACATTTCTCCGGAAAATAAAAAAGACAGAACTGTAATTTCCAAGGCTGTTTTTACTTTTGAAATTTTATGAACCAAGAATTTTCTAGAATACTGTGAACGATATTGGGAGTGGCAATGTGCGATTCAAAGGGTAAGGTCTATGTAAGAATGTGATAGGTCAAATTCTTGCAAAGAATGTATTTCTTTTTGATAAGTAATTCTATTTAAAGTTAAAGGAATGGATATAGTTTTGGAGATAGAAAAGAGCCATTGGTGCTGTTTGGGTCTGCATATTGAATTGAGCCAAAGTAACACTGAAAAGTAGGTCTAAATAATTAGGGCAATAAATATGCAAAACTCCTTATCTTTAAACCTGCCAGACAAAGACCATGACTAATTTTAAGCTTGCTTGGCACCAGCTTCCTTTCTCAGTTCTTGTTGCTACTGCCCCTCAGTCTGGCTGAGCACTTTAGCAGTTGACTGCCCAACTCTCTCTATCAATCCATCGTAAGTGGACTTTTCAGAAGCTGCCATCTCAACAAACATCCCTTGAAATTATTAGCAAGAACAGTTGCCAAGGCCACTAGGAAATTCCATCTCTGTCTTTTAGCTGAGAAAAAATCCACTGGTCTATTAAAATGGATTGGTTTGGTGATACATCTCTCATAAATTCAGCCTGCCATGTTTATTCCTTCAACTGAAACTGCTAATCAAAATATGAATTTAAATATATAGAACTCTTTTCCTTGAAGTTATAACAATTATACCATATTTAAACAATCATACAAATTAAGATGGGAATGAGATTTTTTTGTGGAGAGATATGTGTTGGTCTGAGTCCCAATAAAAATCCACTTCGGGAGTCCTGTGTCTACTCTTGCATCTGCTATTTGTTTAGGTGGTTTTTGCTCATGAAACTCTTTCCAAAATTGGCTGAAACTTCTAGGCCTTAACGTATGGAAGACTGAAGAAACTTTATTTTAATTCAGAAATTTGAATTCTTGGAGCAAAGCTATGTTTGGAATGTATGAGTGTGATTAGCTTTCTTCTTAAACAGTAAATATTTTATTAAAAAATAAATATTTTTTATTATGACATATCACACAGAACAATACACAGCTCATCAATTTATTATAAGGTGAACATTTATGTGGTCCTTACTCACACTGAAACAAGTGGAAGAGACGTGACATCTAAGTTCAACTTGTATTCCTAGAAGAAAGGACAGAGAAATTGCTAGCAAAATTTGAATGGGGCCTGTGCATTAGTTTGACTAATTAATTTCCTAATTGAAGAGCTGGATGTGATTATGGAGGAAAGTGTCCTTGTTTGGGGGGAATGAATTCTAGAGGGTTTAGGAGTGATGAGACTTTATAGCTTGCTTTCAAAAGACTCAGGAAAGGAGCTGGGCATGGTGGCTCATGCCTGTAATCCCAGCACTTTGGGAGGCCAAGGCCTGAGGATTACTTGAGCCCAGGAGCTCAAAACCAGCCTGCACAACAGAGTGAGACTTTCATCTCTGCAAAATATTTAAAAATTACCCATGCAGGCACCTGTACTACTTGGACGGCTGAGGCAGGAGGAGTGCTTGAGCCCCAGAGTTGGAAGTTGCAGTGAGTTGTGATCTTACCACTGCATTCCAGCCTAAACAACAGAGAGATACCTTCTCTCTAATTATCTCTAATAATAATACATATTCAAAAAGAAATAGTTATAATGGGGATAAATAGATAGCAATAAAACAAAAAATAAAATGTTAATTTTAAACTGAGGAATAACTGGGTGAAGGGATATGCAAATTGTTTTGTTCTGGTACATTTTTCTTTAACTATGAGGTCATTTCAAAATAATTTAAAAAAATTTAACTTCAGATAAAGTTAAGGACTTAGATATGCCAAAAAATAAAAAAAAGCTTTAAAGTAATAAGTGAATGTAGGTAAATATTTTTAAGCCTTAAATATGCATAAAAAGTGTGAACTGAAAAAGATTGATAAATCTGATCATAATAAGTGGAAAATTTTTGTTTGTAAAGTAATACCTTAAAGAACATGAAAGATCAAATTACAAACTGTCACAAAAAATAATATTGAAAACTTAAGAACTTCCTCAAGCCAATGTTTTAAAGCACACACACACACCCACACACACCCACACCCTAAAATAAATTTCACAGAAAAGAAAGCATGTATCATTTATTCTAGGAATGCAGTCAAAACTTGGTTAACATTAAAAAAAATCACATTGCCTTTCAGTTTTTCATGTCCTGGATGGCTTCAAAAATTATAGGCCTTACATTCTAGGATGACCTTACAGTGATCCTGCTGATGTTTCCTTATGACCATGCTCAGAGGATGCAATTAGGGTGGGATTATCTCAGAAATGAAGCTATGTTCTTAATGTGTATCATTAGGATGAATGATGCCACCTCATTGATCGCCACTGGTGATGTCAACTTGGCTTGGAGTCTGCCAAGTTTCTCTTCCTTAAATTCACCATTTTCTAACCAATTAATACTTTGTGGGAAAGTCTTCTGAGATTACTTTGTAGTGACTAATATCCTAGTGCCTTTCAATTCTATTGCCCACTCCTATGTAAATCAACCACATTGACAAATGGTGATTTTCTATTTTCCTCATTGCTTCTCAATTTCTTTCTTTTTTTCTGTATACATTTTTTTTTTTTTTTTTTACTTCTCAATTTCTTATTTGGCATTCAACTGTAAGGAAAAGCCTTCCTTGTTCATTTATTTACATATTTGTTTGTATCATTATAAACTCATAGGTTCCTGCTTTACTTAACGTGTTAGTATCTGTTTTTATTATTTTGATGCTTATATTAATTTCTGTGTCTCTTCAGTGTATCCTGATCTTTCACTGAGAATTTTTACTTTCTGACACAAAAAGATATTCTAGACTCATTTTGTCTGACCCTAGCCCTGGAATCAGTCATTTTCCCAAAAGTGCTAGTTCCTTTTAGTTTCCAAACCAAGATCTAGGTCCCAGTAATTCCCGTTGCTAATAGTGTGTCATTGCTTCTGCATTTCTAGAGGTAGGAAATGTAATACTATGTGTGTATATATGTACACACACATCTCTATCCACACTCATACATCTATTTCTATCTCTGTGTAGTGATGTTGAACATTTTTTCATATACTTGTTGGCCATTTGTATGTCTTCTTTTGAGAAGGATCTATTCAGGTCCTTCCCCCTACCCCCCCCTCCCCTTTTTGGGAAAGAATCTTGCTCTGTTCTCTAGGCTAGACTGCCCAGGTGTCAGCCTAAGTCACAGCAACTTCATCTTCTTGGGTTCAAGCAATCCTCCTGCCTCAGCCTCCTGAGCAGTGGGGACTATAGGTGCCTGCCATGAAGCCTAATTTTTCTATTTTTAATAGAGATGCAGTCTCCCTGTTTGTTGCTCAGACTGTTTAGAACTCCTGAGCTCAAGCAATCTTCCTACCTCAGCCTCCCAGAGTGCTAGGATTATAGGTGTGAGCCACTGCACCCTGCCACTTTGCCTATTTTTAAATTGGGTTCTTTGTTTTCTTGCTATTGAGTTGTTTAAGGTCCTTATATATTCTGAATATTAATCTCTTATCAGATGTATCATTTGCAATATATTCTACCATTCTGTAGGTTGTCTCTTTCCCCCCATTCACTTAAGTATTCAATCGTTTATTGATATCACTATGAACTCATTGATACTTATTTTATGATTAAGCTACAATCCAATAGCATTGTATTTATCTCATTGCTCACATGGTTCCATTTTGGCCATTGGGAGCTCTTTCTCTTGGCCATATCCCTTTGACATACTCAGTAACTGTGGGCTGTTTTCTTTTAATGAAGCACTTCTTTGCTTTCTAGCACTACCAAGTTCTCTGTGCCTATCTTGTACTTGTTCAGTTCCTCTGGCATTTGGTGTTACAGGCTCCACTCAATTCAACATTACTTTGGTCAGCACCTTTTCCCCTTCATCCTCTTCAGTGAGGTTGTTTCATATCTTTGTATGATGATTAGACTCTGGCCATCTCTTAGGATCCCAACCTCATATTTAAAAATTGCTTATATGTTAAGGTTCACTCTTTATGCTGTAAAGTTCTATGTGCTTTGACAAATGCAAATTGGAATTGATGGATTCTGTATAGCTTCAGAATCCTTGAGAAAAGAAAACAACCTCAGCTTGACTGGCTCTCATCTCAAGGCACACTGCAAAAGCCCAAAAGCCCCCTTGGAAGCAATGCCATCCCATGGAACTATAATGCGAGCCACATATGTGATTTTACATTTTGCAGTAGCCACAAATTAAAAAGTAAAAATGATGCAGGAGAGATTTATTTTAATAACATATTTTTTAACCAATTATGTCCCAAACATTATTTCAATATGTAACAAATGAAAGGGTTATTAATGAACTATTTCACATTTTTTGGTATTAAGTTTTCAAGACCAGTTAGTATTTTATAGGTCCAGCACATATATATATCAGTTTGGAACAGCCACATTTCAAGTTCTTATTAGACACATGTGCCTAGTGGCTGCCATACTGGGTAGTTGATGATTTAAAGATATTCAGCAGTCATATTTCAGACTGTGCTGAAAATGAATTTAATTTTAAGGTGTTCGAGCTAGCAGAATAAATGCATAGGCCTGATCAGTCTCTTATGTCCAAGTTAGGGTGTTGATAAGGAAAAAGTGATACCTTAACATCTGAGATGGAGAGATTTGGGTGGATGGGCCTAATAACATTTAACCTGAGGTTACCCTGAACTCTTCAAGCCAGCAGAAGCTTCTCCCTTCCCCATTTAGGAGGAGAGAAGCATCCCTTTAAAAAGCTTGGAGATCCTGACGAAATCTCACTGAGCCCAGGTATATTGCAAGATGATGCTTATTCTCAACCTTTAAATGACTGTGGTTCACTCTGCTTAGCATTTCCCACCATCTCATTGCAGGTTGCAAGCAGTCCTCTCATTTGCAGAGTTGAGAGCCTGAAGGTGTCAACATTCATCTTTCCTAGTTATTTTACCTGCTAAATGACTTTATTGCCTCTTTTCAGGGAATTTATTAAATTTGGCAACTCTTCTTTCTTTATTTCAATAAAATATACTTTGATTCCATACTTTTCTTTTACACCTAGAAAGAGATTTGAAAGTGGCCTTTAGTAGGCCACATGGAGATACCATGATCATGAATGTGGTTTTCCCAGGGTGAGGCTTATCCATTGCACTCTGGATGTGCTAACCCCTGCGATTGCCCCAAATGTGGGAACTCGACTGCATAATTTGAGGTAGTGGGGGACTATATTCACACTTTCCCCTGCAAAAAGGGAGGGGCTTTATAAAGTGGTTGTTTGTCACCAAAGAACACTTTACCTGCCCATTAAGATCCTGTGGTCACACAAAGGAAAGAGTAATTACTTATTTTAACAGAGCCTGTGTGGTATCATTTCTCCTGTTCTTAAAGTATTCCATGATTTGAAAAAAATAGGTTCAACTGATTCATCTTTATAAAGACACATGTTTTCCTCCAACTATCATTCTGAAAACTGTGATCAGATCTTTTTGAACTTATGCTGCTCAGACGCTGAGGCAATCCTGATACAAAGGCAAGTTTGGCTACAAATGCCAACAATTATTTTGTGAAGCAGCTGGAAAGAGAACTCAGTTGGCACTGAGGCAGCTACCGCAAAGGCATTCTGGCTCACAGCTCTGTCCCTGGTGTGAGGCTGGACTCCAGTGTAATCTTTAGGAAAACTTTTAGGACAAACTTCCTTTCCATTTGAGGATATAAAAAGGCTCCTGGTAATTAACTTTTGGAAGTTTATATGTAGGTAGAAAAAACAGGAAACTCAACCCCACCAGTCACAACCAATAAATTCCTGCTCATCATGAATCATTTATTAACACAAAATGGAAAAGATCACACTCTGGGTCACAGCTTACAGTCAGACAAACCGATATGGGATTGAGTTTTGACTTCCTCCCCAAATTTGTAGGCTCTGAAAGTATAGCCCAACTCTTTACTGTCTCTAGGCTTTAGCTTTCTTACCTTTAAAATAGGTATAAAGATATTTACCTAATGGGAGTTGTTGAGAAGACAGTGTGATGTTGAAAGAGCTCATTGTAGGTGGCATGCATTGCAGGCAGAACTGAAAAGAGAGTGAATCCTGTCTGGCTTTTCAGGCTTAAGTTTTCATACCACTGTGTGTTCTTTTCACTCAGGGGAGCATTTCCTCAAAGATAGGTTGAAGTTCACGTGTAACACTTTTTGTCTTTCAGCCACTTAATTTCTTGCTGGTTATTTGGAGCCTGGTATTTTTGAGTCATCTTTCCCAACTGGGTCAGGTCACTATGCCAGTGGTTTGTTTTTATGCTGTGCAATGATCTTTTCCTTGGGGTTCAGGAGTCTTTGGAGGTTCCAAACAATTCCACCTGTGGACAGCTTGCTGTGTACTTGAACTTGGAGTCTCCACTCTGCAACCTGTTCATCTCTCTCTCCTTGTTGAGATAGGTGGGTATGGTATTAAGTCCAAGATCTAAATCTGAATTGGAAAGTGAGAGACCCATTTAGGCCTCAAGCTTAATGCTATCACTTTCTCTAATCCAGTTTCTATTAACGGTTTGCTATGAGGTGCCTGGTGTGTGCCAGTGCTGATGGAGCTCTTCTTTGTTTTAAATTCAGTGTTTATGTGTGTTTCTTACTGCTGTTCAGAACCTTGGGCAAAGGCAGAGGTGAATAGCACCCAACGCCCTGATGTATACAGTCACTATTTGAAGTCTTACGTATGTATATGTGTGTATATAAAACATATAACCCTGGGGTACCTGAATCTGAAGATTTTAGGGGGGAGAGTTGAATAAGAAATTTGAATGAGCTCAGAGTAGTCAGATCTGGGTTGGGTAGCTGATGAGGCACTATTTTGAAATGAATAATTCAGACTTGAGTTGTAGATTGATATTAGACTACAATGTGATTATTTTGCTGGAGTTATAAGGTGTTATGGAATGAATTGTGTTTCTCCAGAAAGACGTGTTAAAATCCTAACTCCCAGTGCCTCAGAATGTGTGACCTTATTTGGAAGTAGGGTCTTTACAGAAGTAATCAAATGAAAATGAAGTCATAATCCAGCAAGACTGGTGATTATAAGAAGGGGAAAAATAATTTGAAGATAGCCATGTGGCAATGAGTCAGGGTTTGAATGGTATATTGATGAGCCAAGCCAAGAAATGCCAAAGAGTGCCAGCAAAGCACCAGAGTCTAGACAGAGGGCTGGAGTAGATTCTCCTTCACAACCTGCAGAAAGAAGCAACCCTGCTTATACCTTGATCTTGGACTTCAGGCATCCAGAATTATAAGATAATAAATCTCTCTTTAAACCACTCAGTTTGTACTACTTTGTTATGACAACTCTAGCAACCTAATACAGATAACACTGCTGAGGGTCAGGGTGGGGCTGCCTTAAAAGAAATGGAATTTCTAGGAGGCATAAGTCTTGGAGCAGTAAGTGAGGTAGGAGGCCTTCGGCTGAGCTGAAGAAAGGGCTTTCCCACCTTCTTTATGGCCAGAGGAACTTTAGGCTGAGACTCTTAGGTCTGGGGAGGTTTGGAGTGCTCCCCCTTGTAATGGGCCCCGTAAGCAGCTCTGGACATGGGAAGGCAGGCTGGGGCCAGGTGCGACCTTGGATAGCTGTGGGCAGGAGCAGTTGTTGTTTTCTGTGTTGTATTTCTCTTCTATTGTTCCTGAACCTTCAAGAAAGTCTCACTAAAAGCTTATAGCCCAGCATCTGCTGTATGGTGAAGAATGATGTCCCACATTTGGGATGAAGTAGACGAGAAGTTGACAAAAAGTACCATCAGAGGCACAAGGCTTTGCTGGGGCCACTACCAACTCAGGAACCCTCAGGGTGGTATCTGAGCAGTAGAATAGTAGAATCCTAACGGCAAGTTCCTGCCCCTTGGAGGTGGACTTTTGAGAAATGCTCAGAAAAATCTGGGAGAACTTGTACTCACACTGAGAGTAGTGAATTGGATAACCTGGCAATCAAGCTTGCTATTTTAAAAATGCATGTAACCTGAGACTTCTTCCTCAATAAAGGAGGGCAGGAGGTTCCTCAGATGATGTCTAAGGACACTTCCAGGCTTAAAATTCTATTATTGTAATTAATCAAAACTGCCATCAAGCAGTGAATAGCTGTGACAGGTGAGAGAAAGCCAACTCTGAACCCTCAAGCTGGGCAGCTGTAGCCCCTATGCAGTCCAATATGGGCTGCTGTTCATATATAGGAATATACTGACCACTGTAAGAAGTGACAGCTGGTGGAATGCAGGGGAGACTCAATTTTCTCATCTGAAATGCCACTGGGGGCTGGTGGTGGTGTGGAGCTAGGTGGTTACTATGGTTCTCTCTAACACTAGATTTCATGATTTGGGGAGGGAAGAATGACTTTACTAGTCCTGCAGTGACTGTGTCAAGTGAGCAATCTAGGATTATTTAGTTTTCGGACAAAATACCCCTCACATCTCAAGAACCCCAAAGAGCATGAAGTAGTAAAGCAGAATTCATAGAACTAAGACAGCCTTCACTGAGCTTCCTCTGTAAGGCCGGTGCTGTCCAAGTGGATGGAAAGGAATGGAATGATGTGGATGTGCTTTCTGAGTTCATGCCTCTCATGATCTAGAAGGAGAGATGTATTTAACACACCAATAAATAGCGACAAACTGTGAAAGAAGAGTTAACAGGAGGAACCTATTTTAGATTGAGTGATTGTATGTTTCCGAGGCTTGCTGTGACAAGTTACTATAAACTGGGTGGCTCAAACAATAGAAACATATTCTCTCACTGTCCTGTAGTTGGGAAATCTAAAATCATGATGTCAACAGGGTTGGTTCCTTCTGAGGATTGCGAGGGACAGTCTGTTCCATGCCTCTCCCTGGTTTCTGGTTTGCTGCTAGTCTTCAGCATTCCTTAGCTTCCAGACACATCACCCCAATCTCTGCCTTTATTATCACATGTGATACTCTTCCTGAGCGTGTGTCTGTGTCCAAATTTTCACTTTTCAAGGAAATAGTCACATTGGTTTAGTGCTCAACTTAATGATTTTGTTGAATTTGAGCATCTAGAAAGCCCTTATTTCCAAATGAGGTGGCCCTTACTAACACCAGGGCTAAGGACTTCTACATATCTGTCTGGGGGACACAATTCAGCCTGCTACGGGCATCATAGATGTTTTCCCCAAGGAGGTGAGATTCACACTAAGATCTGAAGGAAGACAGGGACAACAGAGCAAAGAGCCAAGGGAACAACATTCCAGCAAAAGAATGAAAACCTGTATTAGGGAGTTGTGGTGGGAAGGAGCTTACTCATGTGAGAAGCCAGAGAAGGTAAAGAATATCAAAGGGGAGGCTGGGATGAGACAAGGTGGCACAGAGCCAAGGCTTGCATCCAGTCTTAAGGAGTTTCAAGTAGATTCTAAGAGCAATAGGAAGCCACTGCAGGTTTTCAGAGAAAGGAGAACAATGTCACATAAGGGCAGAGACAGGTGGCAGGTGAGAAAGCATAGACGTGGCTGTGGAATTGGAAAGAAGCGGATGGATTCCCGAGACTTTAGGAGACTGGATTAACTAGACTGATTGGGATTGATTCTAACATCTGTCTTGGTCCCAAGGCACCAAATGGAGCTGTGAGGCTTGCACATGGCCTCTCTCCTTACATGAGTTCAGTGGTGTCCATGTAAGAGCTTGAGTCCAAAACCTTTTACTAGGTGTTGACAAAAGATGGACTTCAGTTCACCTTTGACCTGAGATAGCCTTTATGTGTTCTGCATAGCATTTTAATAATAGGAACACTTTACATAAAAATTTAGATTCCTAGCTGTTCTTGCAAAACTAGAAAAGCTGGCAACAGTGGAGTCTGCAAAACTGCTTGGTCCCAGGTGAGCTGGAGGCAAGGAGCAGCTCCCCCCTTTAGACAGTGTGCTCCCCACTTCCTCATAGCCTGTAGTGCTCCCTCTTGCTCTGCCCACAACCACTTCCTTTTTTGATTTTACTTTATCTACCTGGTTCCTCTGTTGGCTTAGGTTTGCTTCTCTGCCTAGTTCTGATAAGCAGGTGGTTTTCCTTGGTGTGGTTCCTCTGTGTATTTCTTTGTGAGCATATGTGCCTGTGGGTGGGTCCTTGAGTATTTGGGATTTAGAATAAACGTATTCATAAGCTTGAGTGAGTATTTGGGATTTGGAATAACAGGCCTCATAAACTTGAATGAGAAGGAGGATGTCAAATACCAAAGGTGGTCTGTGTGATTCCCAAGGAAGGATTCAAGTT